GTCAACCCTATGACAACTCACCCAAACTAAGGACCCACTCCCCGCCATGGACAGGACCAACGTCATCTACAAGATGCCCTGCAGAGACTGCGAGAAACACTACATCGGACAAACAGGAAGGAAACTAACAACAAGGGTACACGAACACCAACTGGCTACAAAAAGACACGACCAATACTCACTCATCTCAATCCACATGGACAAGGAGAACCACGACTTTGACTGGGACAACACCAAGATCCTGGGACAGGCTAGGCAGAGACAAGCACGAGAATTCCTGGAAGCATGGCACTCCATGAAACATGCTATCAAATAAACACATTGAACTCGACCCCATATACATTCCACTACAAAGGAAAACCGGAAGTGAGGCAATCCATCACAACGGAACCCTGAGCTTAAAAACCAGGCGGGAAAACACACTTGCGCTTCATCGGAGGTTGCACTGAGGATGTTACCCAGCATGGTAACGAAATGTCTGCGAAACAAAAAACCAGCTCAGTGAGCCAACCAACTTCAACAACCTCAAAATGGAACTTTGCTTCAGTGTATTATGTGATTTTTTAAAAAAACTTCTTCCACTTGACAACTACTCCACCAACAATGCCAGCATTTATTGCTCATTTCCAATTGCCCTTGAGAAGGTGATGGTGAGATGCCTCCTTAAAAATCTTCAGCAGACCTAGTTTAGCTAATGTTGGAAAGGGAGTCCCAGGATTTTCTCCCAGAGACAGAGAAGAAATGTGGATGAGGCAGGAGAGGGAAATGTGCAGCAGAAATGATGTTGTGTTGGTTAGAAGTCAAAAGATAGTAGCAAAAGATAACCAACAGTGTGAAATAAAAATGGGTTGATCAAAATGTAACAACACTGAAGCAAACATTTACTAAATTCTCATATTTCCATTTGTGCCTGCAGGGATCTGGAAAGATTATGATATTAATGAAATTTTGCAGCAGCTGTACTTTCTTGGAATTGCTAAAGTTAATAATAAAGTGAATTAATATTTATCATCAATTACCTCATTAATTGTAAAATGTTAACTCATTAAATTGTTTGACTTTTTAGTAAGATTTTGATGCTCCATTTAAACATTTTTCACTATTTTACTCACATATAAATGTCAATATTTTGTCATTAGAGCTAAATGTGCTGTGGGTAATGCAGTTCTCGTTGAGGCATGATAGCCTCTGAAAGTGTATTTTGACAGAAATGAACAGTGAAGTGATTTTTGTTATTAAAGGATTCATCATGAACATTATATGTTAAATGAGGTGAAATTATTATTATGTTTTTTTTTTGTAAGATGCTAAACTAAAATACTCAATAGCCTGCAGTCACTGTAATTGAACTGGACTCAAAGGCAGTAGTGTCTATTGTTACAAAGTTTTTTTTTCCTTTATTCTTTAACGGGATGAGGGCATTGCTGGCTAGGCAGCATTTATTGCCCATCCCTAGTTGCCCAGAGGGCAGTTCAGAGTCAACCACATGTGGGTCTGGAGCCACATGTCGACCTAAAGGACATTAGTGAACCAGATGGGTTTTTCCCAACAATTAACAATGGATTCACAGTGATCATTAGACTCCTAATTTTATTTTATTGAATTCAAATTCCACCATCTGCTGTGGTGGGATTCAAACCTGGGTTCCCAGAACACCACCTGGGTCTGTGGATTAACAGTCCAGTGAAAATACCACTAGGCCATCGCCTCCCCTATTCGTTGGATAAAGTAGTTGTGAGGTGGAAGGCAGGAAGCTAAAACGTATGGTTCCTTTAATAGTTTTGTGCTTTGTCAATAATGTATGCCTGTGAGCAACAGCTGAAGTTGCCAGAACAGAGAGCCTCAAAAAGTGAAACAAGTGAATCTAAACAGCCTTACAGGTGGCAGGCAAAACAGCAGTCTTGTTTTGATGCCATGACAATGAGTTTGAATTCGTCCAGTTAATTTAAAACCAAACTCAGCGATTCAAAGTCAATTGAATTTAAATCTGATGTTGTTGACAGCCTGAAACCAATCATATAATAAGAATTTGATTATGTCATAACGGGTATATAAGACGAGGGCATTTGGAAAAATCGGAGAGAGCCAATTGCCATTTGAAAGAGAGAGACAACTGCCACCTGCCAGAGTTGGCACCATTCACCTCTCAGAGAAAGCCCATCTAGTTAGTCAAAGGCACCACGGTATTTTAGCTCAAAGTCCTTATTTGAAGAAATTATAGAGATAAAACATCCCTGACAGCAGAATTAGCGGAAGAAAGGCTTTTGTGAAGAGATCGGAGACGACAGAGGATTCCAGAAGACAGTCTATGCAAGCTTGGAGAGATTACGTTATAATTTATTGCTTCTTATTAATTGGGTTTATAATAGTGGGACTTGTCTTTATTTAAACAGCATTCCAGTAGAATTTAGACCAGTTAGGGAATAGTTAGTAGTCTAAGGGGGAATTGTCGGTTTGTTAATAATTATGTTAATTTGTTCATTGTTGGGTTAAATAAATAAATTGTTTCTTGTTACTTGTCGTGGGGATCAGGGATTTTCTTTCTTTTAACCACTCTTTTGTAGATTACGAGGGGAAAGGCGAGCTTCTCTGGGTGTTTTGGGGGTAATTATTAGAGGGGAACCCCTACTCCTGTCATAACAGATTGGGTCTTGTGTTTTAGTTTAATTATCAGAGGGGTTTGGCCATTCTCCGTTGTAACACTACTTCATCCTCTTGCACTAAATAGTTACAGTATTTACAGCACAGAAAAAGCCACTTAAGTTCATACCAGTGCTCAAACTCCATATGAGTGTTATCATGCTGTTCAACTCACTTCATCAACATATTCTTCCATACATTATTGTGTTTAGCAAGCTTAATTATATCTCTGCTAGTCTCTTCAGAAACGCTGTGAGCAAGCATGTTTTTAAAATTCTTACATCAGCTGTGAATATCACTGGCAAAGTCAATATTTGTTGCCCATTCCTTATTACCTTTGAGAAGGCGATGGAAAGCTGCCTTCTTAAACTGATGTAGTCCATTTGGTGTGAAACACTGACAGTGCTGCTAGAGAGTTCCACAGTTTTGGTACAGTGACAGTGAAGGAATGATGATTTAGTTCCAAATCAGCATGGTTTGTGGCATGGAGAGAAACTTGATCATGTGGTGATATTCACAAGAATCTGTCACCATTTTCTCTCCAGTTGGCAGAAGTTGTGGATTTGAAGGTACTGTTGAAGGAAGTTTGGCTTATCTTTTCTAACAAGGTGGTACACATTCCAGGAAGTTCACAACATAGGCTGATACTCTGGACTCAGCTGGTTGACCTTAAAGTAGTGACACCGTGAATCTGTCACATTTGAGAAATGTCAGTACAGTTCCCTAATACCTGCAATGCTGTTGTGTCTTAAAAGATAAATGCTATCCACTAGTTTGTTCCACAATCTCTAAATGTTAGACACAGCACAAATGTCTCAATCTCAGTCATTTATTAGTGCCTCTCAGTCATCTCTTGTTATTGCTCGTTTTTAAATGTCAACAAATTAGAGACACTTAATGACCAGACATTATGTGGACAAGTATTCCAGTGTGACAAGATGAACTTTTGTCCCAACCATGTCATAAATAGGAAATTATCATTAGTCACAACTCAATCTGCATTCATAATTCAATCAAGTCACAATTTGACACCACATCCGACAGCACAGCACAAAATATTTATTGCCACGGTTCTCTATCCAGAACAAAACGTGATACAATTTGTGTATAGCTATCCACTTTTGTAACATTTTATGATTATGAGAAGTCTGTAAAGAACATGAATCTTCAAACATCTAGACAGTTCATTCTTTTGACAGGTGCAAGCTGTGCCATTCTCTAGTGTATGGTTGTAACAAAATTATCTTCACCCTCCCATTGTCCATTTCAGATTCGTTGTTTTACTTGCAACTCCTACCTGCAAAAAAAAATGCTCCATATGTTGTAAAAGGAATGTGAAGTTGGAATATTTTACACAGTGTTAAATGGACATGTTATGGTGTCTCCAAATCATTCTAACAGCTTATTTCCAGTGACAGTATCCTTTCTCCTGTAGCATTACCTGGTGAAGGAAATAGCAATAGAGGAATAGCTATACAAACAATAAACTGTCGTGTGATTGTTACTAGTTAACTTCATTACTTGCCTACATTGATGTTGATGCTGCCCACATGACTGTACTTTGTTAAATCAGATAAACTATATTGGTTTACTTGTGGTGATTGTTTAAAAAAAAACTGATATTGAACATGGAACAAAATGAAAAACACACAAACATTTTGCCAAGCATCTTTATCTCCAACTTCCCCATTGTTGTAAGGCCTCTTAACTTCAGCTATGCACGCATGTTTCATTAAAAACTTAATGAATACAACAAATCCTGCTGAGCTAACATTTTTATCCCACCCTACTCCACAACCTCTGAAACTCATTATTTCTCAGTGCTAATCCTTGACTGTAACTGCTTCCATAGCCTTGTTCCATTCTACCTCTGCCTTCATGTGTTGCCCTTTTTCAACTGTTGTGCATCTCTCACTTCATCCATTGCAACCTCAGGGTCAGAACTCAACATTTTCAAATATTTGGAATTCCCTTGTCAAAGTGCTTTACACATTTTCAAAAGTTTCTTCAAAATCTTCTCAATTTGCCTGTATAGTCACCTTCATATTCCTCTTCTAAGTCAGTGTCCAATACTTCACAACAAAAATATTCTGCAGGTTTCAGCCTTATGGAAATGTGCATCATTATTACAAGTTAGACATTTGTAACTTTAAATTAAAAGTCATACAAGATATATTAGTTCAACTTAATTTTGTTTTCAGAGAAGCGACGTGACCTGTGAGTTTAGATTCATGGCAACTTCTCAGGACTGAGCAACATATTTGAGTAAATAATGTGTATAGACATTTGTGTGATAGTTTATAGTTTCTCACATGTGAGTCACTCCAAACTGAAATATGTGTGCTTTGTTCTTTCTATAGCTATGCAGCAGGTCCTGGACAACTTGAATGACTTACCAAACTCTACTGGAGCCAAGGATTTAGATTTACTCTTCCTGAGAGGAATCATGGAAAGCCCAATTGTACGATCACTAGCTAAGGTAGCTATTTAACCTATGCCAAATGTTACTTAACCGAGACAGACTGTTATGTTGTAGAGTTTGGTTTGTTGGATATGTAATGCAATGCATCATTAGTAAATTTCCAACTATGAAATATGCTAAAGTTCGATACATCGCCAGGCTGCCTCCTTCTCTTTGCAGATATCGGACCTTAGCATTTTACGTTAAAAGCATAACTACCTGTGTTTTCCTGTTTAATCATTACAATATGCAACAATAAGCATAAAACAAAAAAAAAAGCAGGTTGATTATCCATTTGAAGTAGTGCTTAAGTGAGTATGTCTATTACTCAATCTTTGGCTACAATCAAAGATTCTGAAGGACTGAGAATAAAGCTACCATATATGAGAATAGCTTTTTTAACAAGACAATATAGAAAACCAGTCAATAAATGCTACATATAGTCATCGAGTCAGATATATACAGCACAGAAACAGACTCTTCAGTCCAACTTGTCCATGCTGACCAGATATCCTAAATTAATCTAGTTTCATTTGGCCCATACCCCTCTAAACCCTTTCCTATTCATATACCCATCCAGATGTCTTTCAAATGTTGTAATCATACCAGCCTCCACCACTTCCTCTGGCAGCTCATTCCATACACGCGCCAAACTCTGCATGAAAAAGTTGCCCCTTAGGTCCCTTTTAAATCTTTCCCCTCTCGCCTTAAACCTATGCCCTCTAGTTTTGGACACCCCCAACCACAGGGAAAAGACCTTGTCTATTTGCCTTATCTATGCCCCTCATGATTTTATAAATCTCCATGTCTAAGCCCTCAACCTCAGATGCTCCGGAGAAAATAGCCCCAGCCTATTCAACCCCTCCCTATAGCTCAAACCCTCCAATCCTGGCAACATTCTTGTAAATCTTTTCTGAACACTTTCTAATTTCACAACATCCTTCCTATAGCAGGGAGACCAGGATAGCATGTAGTATTCCAATAGTGGCCTAACCTGTATCCTGTACGGCCTCAACAAGACCTCCCAACTCCCATACTAAATGCACTGACCAATAAAGGCAAACATACCAAAGACCCACCTTCACTCTCCTGTCTACCTGCATCTCCACTTTCAAGAAACAGTGAACCTGAGCTCCAAGGACTCTTTATTCAGCAACACTCCCCAGGACTTTATCATTAAGTGCTACACTTAATACTTTGATGAATGCTGCTTTTCTCAATACCAAAAACTGAAATGCCATATCAAATGTACCCTACCTGATTCCAAATATTTTGAAAAGAATATTAATCATTTGAAATGTAAGAGAATCCTATATGTTGCAAAGTGATTTCTTTTGGACTTACCTTTATAGATAATGTCTTGCTTTAACAATGAGAGGCAGAGGGACTTTGTTTAGAAAATTGTCTAATGAAAGATTCTGTTCCAGTGACACCAGGAATAGAGATACTAGACCATGATCAGTACTCATTATTCAGCCACTGACTGGCTGGGGATTTTTTACATGGATACCTGTCTGTAAGACTGGACTCAACCAAATGTTTTACAATATAACAGAGGACATGAGGGACTGCAAATCCCTCTCATTGTAAATGCTTTCCTTTGTAAGGTTGTTCAGATTAACTGAAAAAGTAGATGAATTGTCTTTCCACTGAAGCCAACAATGTGTAATGACATGTTTTACATAACCAATATACTGTAAATGATGTTCTTTCTTTCAGCTTCCCTCACAATCCAAGATTCGGTAGAAAGGAATGACAATGTATTAATCTAATTATTATAAAGCAACATTGTAGCAGTTTCAACAGTTCAGTTATTAGCAAATTTCATATAGAATTTGTTACCACCATCTGATACAAGCTTGTTTCTAAAGATGCATTGTTAGAATACTTGCCAAACAACAGTGTTTCACACTGACAGTCAATGTTTCAAGGCTTATGCCTGATTGTCAGCAACTGCTGACAAAAGGCAATGAAATTCACACTTCACATACTGCCTGGCTGCTACATTGAGATTTCCACAGAATGCTAACACAATCTCTCCTGTATCTAATCAGTCATGCAGTCATGCTAGTCCCACGTTGTCTCATGACCCAGGCACCTATTGGCAGGTAACTGAACTAAGACCACTGGTTTACATGTGTAAACCCAATGATTAGGGAAAGTGTCACTGCAAATTGCAAAGATTGGTTTTGGAATACTGCATTCAATTCTGGTCTCCCTGCTGTAGGAAATATGTTGTCAAACTGGAAAGGGTTCAGAAAAGATTTACAAGGATGTTGCCAGGATTGGATGGTTTGAGCTAAAGAGAAAGGTTAATAGGCTGGGTTTTTTTTTTCCCTGGAGCCTCTGAGGCTGAGCGTAACCTTATAGTGGTTTACAAAATGATGAGACACATGGTTAGGGTGAATAGTCAAGGTCTTTTTCCCAGGGTAGGAGAGTCCAAAACTAGAGGGCATGTGTTTAAGGTGAGAGGGGAAAGATTTAAAAGGAACCTGAGGGGCAATGCCTTCGCTCAGAGGGTGGTGCATGTATGCAATGAGCTGCCAGAGGAGGTGATGGAGGCTGGTACAATTGCAACATTTAAAAAGCATTTGGATGGGTGTGTGAATAGGAAGGGTTTAGAGGGAAATGAACTAAGATGCTGGCAAATGGAACTAGATCAGTTTAGGATGTCTGGTCAGCACAGACAAGTTGGACTGAAGGGTCTGTTTCTGTGCTGTATGTCTCTATAACTCTTAAAGCAGGTTATTAAAGATTCCTGGATCAGTTGCTGAGGCTTTGAGATTGATTTCTTCAATGATGATATCGATTTTTAATAAGGGCCTTCAGTTTAAGCCCAATTCAGTTTTTGCTTTGATTAATATCAAGGCCCTGATTTTTTTTAATTTTCTGAAGAAGGGACCTGACCTGAAACTTCAACTTCCTACTCCTCTGACGCTGCCTGACCTGCTGTGTTCCTCCACCTCCACACTGCGTTATCCTTGACTTGTTTATTGCCTTGATGCAGAGCCCCTTCACCATGGTGGAAAAGCTAGAAGAGCATAGGGCATCACATGTCCCTTCCCCAAAGTGGCATCTCTCATTTTTCATAGGGGCAGGATAGACAATGGGCTTTAGTTCAGGCATACAAACTTTCTGGAGGCAACAAGCCATTTAAGTAAGCTGTTGCCTCCATGGAAATGGAATTTTGGAGCTCCTACTGCCTGGTACCTGGAGTGTGGAGATTAGAACAGGTCAAAGGCATATCCATTCTCACTGCATTTCTGTTGGACAGGTGACGTACGTCTCTGGAAAGTACAGGAATCCCTGTTAATATAGGGTGTGGAGGTCAGCGGTCCTTGAAGGGGTGGCGTGTTACGTGGAATGTAGAACATAGAACAGTACAGCAGAGGCCCTTCAGAGTTGTGGATGGTGAGAAACGTTGTCAAAGAATAAAGCAGAATATCAATCCTTTTGAGTATAAATTTATTTCGACTTTAAAATATGGTTTCCAAACTGTAAAGCTTCCATACCGTAAGGTACAATAAGTGTTTGAGAAAATGACCTGGAGATGTTATGTCATAAGAATGCCCAGATAATTACCAACTCCCATGCATACTTTCACCTTGTGTATTATACAAATGGTTCCTTGAACCAGAAGTAGTGGAACATTTGTTGAGCCTTCAGTTTACATTAGAAGTTTATTGCACTTTCAGTATAACATCTCGATTACCACATCATTGGCTAGGAGATGTGTTTTTTGTGTTCTTTTGATAAATTAATCAATTGCAAATCATATCTCCAAAGCCATTGGAAAAAATGTTGAAATACTAAATTTGAAACAGGTAATTTAGTTTATCCACTCAGCAAGAAAGTATCCCCAATGACTTTCAAGACTGCTTTCAATAATCAGCTTTTATTTTTGAGGATAATCAGCATTTGGTTTTGTTATCTAAAGCTACTTTGAACTTGAATATATATGTGTTAGAAAGTGATTAGTTAAGGACCTTATTCAAGATCACTTATTGAAATTTGTATGAAACATTAGCAAAAAGAGCATGTCTGTACCAGAGTTACGTTGCACTCAGAGTGATAGACCATCGCCTTATGTCTATTACCTAAAGCATTATCTATGCAGTGGCTACAATCATGCAATCTCCGATAAAGAGGATATTTCTTGTCAATATTTTAAACTGTTCGTTACCTGCTGGATAAGATTGACGTTTTGTCTTTTCATTTTTGTGTCAGAGTTTAATTCTAACAGTGTCGTGTGGCATAATTGATATCACTGTCTATTACATTTTATGTATGTCATTGTTTTGTAATTATTCTGCTTAGCCAGGTGAGATATGCTCATTTTGGAGAATGGAGATTGTTCTATTTCACTATTGTGAGCATCAACAGGTCAGGCGTAGCGTTAACATATCCATAGTATACTATCCTGTACTCTCCTGTAGCAGCATATTTCAACACCAGCACAACACATGAGAATTCTTAGTATGAGTTAAGAACATTTTTGTATGGTGACTCCTTACCCACAACTTAAATGCAGTTTACAAAGGACCTTTACTATGAGATGAAAATTTTATCCCTCCATTCTGAGCCATTTCTTTAGAGATAACACATTAATAAGGAAAATACATGTTTTTGAAAGAAAACAAGGATTCCACTTTTATCACCTTGTTTAGAAGAAATTTTTGCGCAGTCACTCATTCTCTGGGTAACACATGGGCCTCAAATGCAGAAGCACAGACTTGAGCTCCCATCCCCACCCATAAGCTTCAGCCCTGTTTTGAAGAAGAGCACAATATTGTCTAGCAGTCTCTGGCATTCAGTGATTACATAGGGTGGTGGTTTAGGATCTTGCAATGGAAAATAAAGACAGGGAGAAGTCTGAGGAAAGAGAGATCTCTGCACTCTCCTGCCCCATAGGGAGGCCAGAAATTCAAAGATCTTTTTGGCCCACTTACAGCATCACTCTGTGGTAGTTGGTTGGGCTGGTAGGTAATCCTCTTCATGAATTAGATACTTGAATAAAA